GAGAAAAAAAACAACAGAACAATAACGAAGAGGTTGGTGTAAGGTAGTGTAGTAATAATAATAGTAATAATGAGGGAAACGGAAAGGTACAATCAGAAGAAATCTTTCAGGTAAGTGAGACACAACCACGTTTTATGAAGAAAATTAGAGAAGGGTACAGCAGGATCGCCACTGGCTTCTATTCTGAGCCATATCTGATAACGTCTCTAGTCACTGAGTTGCAACATCTCTCGGACTCTAGCCAAGGAGTCATGAAGAACCGACAGAAGCCAGTCCTTTGCAGCTTTCTTTCATGCCACGATACCGTCATACACTGACCACCTCTCCGCTTCTTCTAACCAGTCCAAGAGTCGGCAAATAATGCACGACGTGGAATTCTCTGGAACGACATTCGTAGAACATGTCCAAGCCACCGAAGTCGGTGTTTCAAGATGGTGACATCAATTGAATTATCATCTCCGTGCCCGAACACACGATGCCGAACCTCTGCATTACTAACATGGTGTTGCCACTGAATGTCAGCAATCCTTCGGAGACAGCGATGATCGAACACAGAGAGTCGTCTAACGTCCTCAACTCGAAGAGACCAGGTTTCACAAGCATAGAGCGAAACTGCTCTCACCGACGCGTTGTAAATCCGACCTTTTACAGACAAACTAACATCACGAAGGCGCCAAAGGTGGCCCAGATCGACATAAGCCGCTCTGGCTTTTACTATACGTGCATTGATTTCATCACTCACACCCCCACCAGCACTTATGCAACCACCCAGATACACGAACTTCTCGACTACTACTATCTGCTAACCATCCAGGGTGAGTACAGGATCAGGGTCCTGTCAGTCTTGTAAAGGTACTTTGCACTTCGAAGGTGCAAAGCACATACCATACCTACGGACACTGATTGCCAACTGATTAAGTGCGGATTGCATGCCTTGGGCATTATCGCACAGTAAGACAATATCGTCCGCATACTCAAGGTCGAGAAGTCTTTCTCCAGGCAACAGATCCACACCACTGTTACTTACATTCATCAGAGCTGTTTCCAGAATGTCATCGATGGCAAAGTTGAAGAGGAATGGTGAGATTGGACAACCCTGTCTAACCCCACTGCTCGAATGGAATAGAGAGGGGTGGTTCTATGCCCTCACTCTGCCTGAGGTGTTTGTATATAGGGCTTTTAGGATGTTAATAAACTTCTCAGGCACACCCTTCTTCAATAGACAATCCCAGAGAACAGTCCTATCCAACGAATCGAAGGCAGCCCTGATGTCAAGAAACACTACGATTGTTGACCTTTGATAAGTATGGCGGTGTTCTAACATTTGGCGGACGGTTAAAATATGATCAATACATCTATATAGCATAATATTACCGATGGTATAAATTAAGTGTTAATTTGTCATCTTGTATGGAAATTATGTTAGTATGATACAAGAAAACTATAGAGATATTCTACTAGTTTCTAAAATGACCTATAAACATGTTATATTTATACAAATTGCAATGAAAATTACTTCTGTATTTGGAAAAAAACCAACAACAAAAAAGATTAACGGTGAGCTACAATCCCATATTTAATAACCATTTTTTTCTGAAGTGAATATATGAAGTACTTAAAAGCCTACTTAGTACCATTATCACTGAGTTATGAATAAAATAAGATCTGACACCGAATATGAATCAGGTCAAATCGCCACAATGTATCAATGAAGTAGGTTCAGATAAGAATAAGTTATGTGAGATATTTAAAACAATTTAGATAACGTCGATAAGTGGATAGGATTTACATCAGTGACTCAAATATCATTTAACAATAGTTCAATACATACGACTATGCTATAAACTGAACAAACGTGAGTGATATGTAGAATCAAAGTTTAAAAGCCATAAACTTTGAAAAAACAAATTCAAAGGCAAAATAAAATATGAAAGAGATGAAATTATCAAAACTGTTTATATTCGTACACTAACACAAAAAACTCTAAACCATATGTGACACAATCTTTTTAAACAAAGATGGATAGTGGCTAGCAGTAGAATCCAGGACGTGTGTTTCGTCCTATTTGGGACTCCTCAGCTGGATGTACCTGCATCCCAGAGCTGATGTTTAATCCGCACAGGATGTATATATACCAATATGAGACTGATCAATTGCAGTCCTAAATAACAATGGTAAGATACAAGTAAAACAACAGCAAATGTGTCACATTCTGAAAAAAACATCGTGATTCTTATATTACATAGAATTACTTTAAAATAAAATATTGGAAAGGTCATAAAGAAAAAAAACTAACTTGACTGGTTACTTCATGTCGACGTAATAAACAGATGGCTAGACGTAGGAAACCAACAATCACTCTTTCAACAAGGAGATTTGAAGAACGTGAAGACAACAGTAAATCAACAAGGTAATATCTGACTAGTGACCAGAAACACACCAACCGATCACGATTACGCATTAATACACGAATAAGTAGTTCTAGACAGAATACACGACAATCATCCGACGAAGTAACACCGGCGGCATTGAATGGTGAATAATATGATGTATTACCATTACCAGTCCATTGTATTGATGGTGGTGGAGAAGGAGGCGGAAATACGTGCATTGTTGAATTATGTTGACTCTGATCTTGAGATGAGACGCCTATATTTGATACTTCAGTCTCTGTCAACGTGGTACTAGGTAAAGAACTCGAATCGATTGGTGCTAATGATGATGACGATAAACCTGAATCAATATTTAAACATGAACTTTGTACCGATCGATCTGAGGGATGAGAATTATCATGCTGTAAACTTTCCACAGAGAAAACGGAATTAGAATCAAAATTATGTGAAAGCGTAGTATAAGAATCTCCTCGTGTAGCACATAACAGAGCCTGTAAAAGTTTTGAAGAAAAAAAACGAAGACAAACAAACTCTAGACAAAATTCGATATTCATTCAAAATAAAAATTCCTATTTAGGCAATAACAATCAGAGATTACTTTACTAATCAATATTTATTTATGAACCTATGGTTGGTCACCAGCTGCTATGGGACTGCATGTCCTTACGTTGCTCCACTGCTTTGTGGATTAGACCTCAAGGTCAAAGGCTCGGGGAGTGGCCTCCTAAGGAAACTGCCTGCTTCGGTTTGAGTGCCCATGCAGTATCCCAGCTCACACACAAATATAATGACGATGTGTGGAGCACGTATATGTGGTGTCTCATTGTAGCAATGTTTATGTGTTTAAATAGATTATTATTATTATTATTATTATTATTAATAAAGTTAGTCCATATCAATCAAGGCATACTAGTGCTTCCAGTGCTTCCAGGTTTTCAATGGTGGTCTAGCTTCAACTGATTCATGATTTCAATCTGTGAAAATCTCCACAAATCCCTTCTGATAATAATCATCTGCTCACTAGTGACTGACTTCAGGAGAACCTCCTGGAGTTCTAGTGAGAAGCCGTTACCCGTGGAGTTCAACCAGGTCTGTTGTGAGATATCAGCTCACTGAAGGTAATGGTATATGGTGGCGCGACTTCGTGGATTAGTTGAAGTTAGACATTAACACCGTTGGATGCCGGCTCAGTGGTCTAATGGTTAAGTGCTCGCGTGCGAAGCCAGTATGTCCTGGGCTCGAGCCCCGCGTGGTGCGGGATCGTGGATGCGCACTGCTGAGGAGTCCCATACTAGGACGAAACGGCCGTCCAGTGCTTCCAGGTTTTCAATGGTGGTCGAGCTTCAACTGACTCATGATTTCAATCTGTAAAAATTTCTAAAATCTCCACAAACCCCTTCTGATAGCATACTAAATTTGACATAGAAAACCTATGGTTAATCTAATACAGTTGATAAAATTAAAGGTAAGACAATTGATCTGTGTTTATCAATCGAGTTATTACTATCCAATGAAAAATCAATAAGTCCCATTAATACAATAAATATTGATAGATAATTAATTATATAGCTCACTTCAAACAAAATCAAAGTAATAAAAATTCAACATACTTTAATTAGTTCAGTTAATGAAGCATCAACTAAAAATTTACTATCTTCAATTAATTGATCAATACGACATTGAATTACAATGTCCGAAGCGAATCGAGAAGATGTTTGTGCATCTAATTGACTACGATTAACATATGATAATAAATGATTTTGATTAATTAATAAATTATTATTATTATTATTATTGAATAATTTGCTTTCATCAGAATTTGTCGTCTTCAATGATTGATAATCAAATGATGAAGATATTCCAATATCTTTACTTAAATTAATCTCATCATTTTCATCTTCATTATCATTTTCATCATCTTTCAATTCATCATCTTCTTCATCACCAGAACCAATCCATGAAGATCCAGTAGTTAAATATTGATAGAATGAACTGAATACACCTAATTCACTAATAATTGATTGAAGGACAAAAAAATGAAATACAATGAATTTTAAACAAAACATTATCATTAAATATGTAAATTAATATTTCATAGAACATTTAAAAGAACAATCGTAATTACGGATCAGCCTACCATTGAAAGTTATGCATATATATATATATCTATACATAGACTAAGATTAGGCACATGAAATCAAGAAGTCATTTTAAGTGAAGATTTGAAGCAACTTACCGATTATTATTAGTGTTTTGTAAACAGGATGCTTTTTGACGACGTCTGTGCGAATGACGTGAATTTTTTGATTCCTTCTTTATAGGTATACAACCTTTTGTAGTTATATAAATTTTACGAGAAGATGCTAAAAAGTCTTGTGATTCAAGTAGTTCATTAGGTAAAAGATTTGCACGAAACAATTGTAATAAACAGTCTAATAATGAATGCCATCCATAACGTAAAATATCTGCATGTCTAGATGAAATAGTAAACACTAAATAAAGCGCTAAACAAGCTTTTGTATTGCGTCCAAGCATAATTGGTAAATTTGTAGGATTCTAAAATGTGAAATAACATAACCAGAAAAGAAAATCATATTAATGTGTTAGATAGCGTAAATTCCACGTCGTGCATTATTTGTCGACTCTGAGACTGGTAGGAAAAAGCGGAGAGGTGGTCAGTGCATGACATGGTGTCGTGGTATGAAAGAAAGCTGCAAAGGACTGGCTTGTGTTGGTCCTTCACGACTCCCTGGTTGGGGTCTGAGAGATGGTGCTACACAGTGGCTAGAGACGTTATCAGATATGCCTCAGAATAGAAGCCAGTGGCGATCCTGCTGTAACCTTCTTTTACTTTCTTCATAAAAAGTGGTTGTGTCTCCCTTAATTGAAAGATTTCTTCTGATTGTACCTTTCCGTTCCCTCGTTACTACCACACTACCTTACACCAATCTCTTCGTTATTGTTCTCTTTTTCTTTTGCGCTCCCTAGTTTTTTTCCATCTCTCTTCGAATTCTCATTGTTTTGTGTGGCGCATATATATTGGCGCTCTCTTGTACCAATATTCATGTGTTCAAATAATAAAAAGTTCAACTTGTACTAAGCTAAACAGCCCTGAAAACTACATTGGGATAAAAAGATATATACATAGACGAGTGAATAATATGCACAAACTTATGCATAATACTATGAATGATATTGATTGTGCGAATTTCGAAACCATTTATTAAATAAAACTTCAGTACATGACAGTTGTTTTAAATCCTTGACTACAAGGTTTATAGTTGGCTCCTTAGATAGAGTTGTGAGTGTGGAATCGTGGAGTCCCATTCTACGATGAAATGGCCATTCAGTGCTTCCAAGTTTTTAATAGTGATCTAACACTGATCGGCTCATGATCTTAACTATTCAATAGTTTCATTCAATGCACAAATATTCTCATGTTCTAACATATTTATACTTCATTATTTGTATAATAAAATATTCGAAGCAGAAAAATGACTTAATTTCGTATTCTATTTGAACACTGATTACCACGACGCACAATACTGACTAGTGTTGGAGACAGTTAGAAGAAAGTTAGGGGTAGCCAAACTAAGACATGGCATCAATCTGTAAAGTCACTAACTTCTAGTCTGAGCCATGTTGGTAGATGCAGACTATATGATTGGGGTCCACATGACTAACATAACCAATAGTTGGAGACTGTGTGTGACATGTCTCAGAGTCGATCACAATGGCGTAGGTGTATACCCTCTTTTTCTTTCCTTAAACCGTAAGATTAAAATTGCTTTATATCTTTCTTTCTATCAATTAATTATTTCATCCTGCACTATTTCCTTATATGTAACCATTCTTTTATATATTACCATCACTAAATTAACTAATTCTATGAATCCGGTATTCATCATGTTGCGTTAATGAGGTATGGCAACATGGACCAATGTGCCTGGTCCTATGTTGTAGCTGACTGAATTGAAAAAAATAATAATTAATAATAGTATGGACGAAGAATATTCTTTTCAATGAATTTCTCATCAGGTTCTACAATTATAAATCCAGATTAATAATCCATAAAATTGGCCACATTTAAGGTAAAATACATCATCATTTGGAAATTGCAATATGTGAATCAGGAATTGTTTGTTATATAAAATAAAATTGTTAATGTTGGGACTGACTAATATGAAGTGTTAACTTGAATCAGTTTATAAGTGAAATGAAATTGTGAAATAAATCATGATCAGAATAAATATGGTCAACATGGGGTAAGAGAGAGAGAGAGAATATTGTGATTACAAATCGGATATTGCGTAATATGTAAAATAATTAGGTCAAATATATTCGATTCAGGGGTGGATATTGAATAAATTCATCAAAAAGGTTGTTATCAAGTGTAAAGACAATAATAATAATAATAATAATAATAATAATAATAATAATAATAATAATAATAATAATAATAATAATAACAGTAATAATAATAATAATAACAGTAATAATAATAATAATAAGTTTGGGACATAAAATGAACATTAATCAGATTACGTCACCATATTTTAAGATTGATTATTAGCTAGTTGGCCAGGGTAAAAGGAGTGGCTGAACATACTTCTTTTGGATACAAAGCTCTGGCTTTTTGATCCGAATAGCAATTGCTTCAGCCATCTGTAGGATTCGCAGTCTGACGGAATTAGGTACAATGCTGTTGACACGGTAAACTATTGCAAAAGATTGCTCGATGTTGGCTGTATATCCTGTTTGGACTAAATGGTCTAAGATGGAGCTGTTAACAGAAAGCCTCTATATATACGCTTACAATTCAGAGGTGACGCGCCGAGTGAAATGTTAAGACTCAAGTTAAGTAGATCAATTCAAAGGACTTTTAACGCAGCTAAACTACGACTAGTATTTTCCACACGACCAATAATCACTCCGAGGTTGAAAGATAAATTGCCTAGACTAGCCACCTCCTTCTGTATCTATCAATTCAACTGCTCCTGTGGAGCAAGTTATATTGGCAGATGTTCTAGGAATTTGTACATTCGGGCTCGTGAGCACCTACCCGTGTGGTTAAGCAAAGGTGTTGTCAAAACTGTTAACAGCTCCATCTTAGACCATTTAGTCCAAACAGGATATACAGCCAACATCGAGCAATCTTTTGCAATAGTTTACCGTGTCAACAGCAGTCTACCTAATTCCGTCAGACTGCGAATCCTACAGATGGCTGAAGCAATTGCTATTCGGATCAAAAAGCCAGAGCTTTGTATCCAAAAGAAGTATGTTCAGCCACTCCTTTTACCCTGGCCAACTAGCTAATAATCAATCTTAAAATATGGTGACGTAATCTGATTAATGTTCATTTTATGTCCCAAACTTATTATTATTATTATTACTGTTATTATTATTATTATTACTGTTATTATTATTATTATTATTATTATTATTATTATTATTATTATTATTATTATTATTATTATTGTCTTTACACTTGATAACAACCTTTTTGATGAATTTATTCAATATCCACCCCTGAATCGAATATATTTGACCTAATTATTTTACATATTACGCAATATCCGATTTGTAATCACAATATTCTCTCTCTCTCTCTTACCCCATGTTGACCATATTTATTCTGATCATGATTTATTTCACAATTTCATTTCACTTATAAACTGATTCAAGTTAACACTTCATATTAGTCAGCCCCAACATTAACAATTTTATTTTATATAACAAACAATTCCTGATTCACATATTGCAATTTCCAAATGATGATGTATTTTACCTTAAATGTGGCCAATTTTATGGATTATTAATCTGGATTTATAATTGATAGAACCTGATGAGAAATTCATTGAAAAGAATATTCTTCGTTCATACAATTGTGTTTTTAATATAATGGGAATTTTTCAGCAATTAATAATAGTCTGAAAATTAATTGAAACATAAACACTTACATCGTTAGCACTTAATAAAGTTGTAAATTTACACAGAGAAATAACTAAATTGTCTAGTACATCACTCATTCCATAATAAGCAGCTATTGTGGCACATCGGTTAAATCCATCAATCGCTTTAGATTGTACTTCAGGATCAGTAGTTTTATCAAAGATAAACGACAAAGCAGATACTGTAGGTCCCCAGATTAATTCGAATAGATCAGCATCAAATGCACCAGTTTGTACATGAATGAATAGGGCTTGTTTAGTGGATGAACGACGTAGAAGGCACTGTGAAATAGTAATGTAGTGAGCGAGAACATAAGTGGGGTACAATCGAATTTATTTGAACACAAAATTACAGAACATCTTAGTAAAATCTGAGAACCATACAATGAACACTTAATTTGCAAAGTCTCAATCAACTGTCTCAAACTGGACTGTTCCTTTTGGAAATATCAGTCAATCGTCTCACACTTTATTGTCCCTGCATTTTCATACCAATTGCTTTCTGTTCACGTTCTTTACTTCTCAGCATTCTGCTGCCAGACATTCTAAACCTCACTATAGTCACGTACTACTCATGTCAATATAAATAGTACACAGTGTATGAAGCTTACTTACTTACGCCTGTTACTCCTCGTGAAGGAGCATAGGCCGCTCACCAGCATTCTCCATCCAATCCTGACCTGGGCAATCCATTCTAGCTTTTTCCACTTTTTATTCATCCTTTTCATATCTGCTTCGATTTCTTAGGCCTTCCTCTTTTCCGTTTCCCTTCAGAATTCCAGGTTAGGGTTTGCCCCGTGATGCAGTTTGATGATTTGCGTAATGTATGTCCTATCCATTTCCATCGTCTTTTCCTAATTTCTTCTGCTGGAAGCTGGTTTGTTCTCTCTTACAAAAGGCTGTTGCTGATGGTATCCGGTCAATGGATGTTGAGTATGTTGTGTAGACAACCATTTATAAATACTCGTATATTCTTGATGTCGGTTGTTGTAGTTCTCCAAGTTTCAGCTCCGTACAGTAGAACTACCTTGATGTTCGAATTGAAGATTGTCACTTCGATATTGATTGAAAGTTGTTTTGAGTTCCAAATGTTCTTCAACTGTAAGAATGCTGTCTTTGCTTTACCAATCCTTGCCTTTACGTCTGCATCTGAACCTCCTTGTTCATCGATTATGCTTCCTAAGTATGTGAAGGACTCTACATCTTCCAGAGTTTCGCCATCAAGAGTGATTGGATTGCTGTTCTTCGTTTTGAATTTGAAAACCTTGGTTTTCCCCTTGTGTATGTTGAGGCCTACTGATGCAGAGACTGCTGCGACACTGGCCTTCGTTATCTGTATTTGTTCGTGTGTATGCGATAGGAGGGCTAGGTCATCTGTCAGGTCCAAATCGTCTAATTGGTTCTGAGCTGTCCATTGTATGTCGTGTTTTCCTTCAGATGTCGAGGTCTTCATAATCCAGTCGACCACCAGAAGAAAGACGAAGGGAGAGACTAGACAGCCTTGTCTGACTCCGGTCCTTACTTGGAATGCATCTGTCAGCTGTCCTCCATGCACTACTTTGCACTGTAGTTCGTCGTATGAGTTTCGGATAATATTGAAAATCTTCTCAGGAACTCCGTAGTGTCGAAGAAGTTTCCATAACGTTTTCCTATCTACATTGTCGAATTCCTTTTCATAATCAATGAAGTTAATGTACATTGAAGAGTTCCACTCAACTGATTGTTCGACGATGATCCGTAGTGTCACAATTTAGTCTGTGCACGACCGATCCTTACGGAATGCAGCTTGTTGATCTCGAAGTTGGGTGTCTGCTGCATCTTTCATCCGGTTCAGCAACACTCCGTCGAAGTCTTTTCCTGGTATTGACAGTAGTGTAATACCTGTGTAGTTTTCACATTTGCTCAGATTTCCTTTCTTTGGAATCTTGATGAGGTGTCTTTCTTTCCAGTCCATCGGCACTTGTTCCTCCCCCCAAATCTTTTTGAATAGAAGGTAAAGCATGCTTGTAGTTACTTCGATGTCTGACTTCAGTGCTTCAGCTGGTTTATTGTCGGGTCCTGCTGATTTCCCGCTCTTGATTTGTCTGATTTCTTCCGTCGTTGGTGGGTTGACATCTATAGGAAGATCCATGTGTGCTGCTTCGATGTCCAATGGATATATGAAGCAGTACATAAAAAGATATCTAAATAACTTAAATTACCTGACAAAAGTCTTATTTACATATATTTCTGTATCGACTATAAGAATAGAAACTCATCTATGGCGTATATCATCTTATTATTATTATCATTACTACTATTATGGTTTGTGTTAATATTAATATTTACCCGTATTGTAATGATGTAACATAATATTTACAATTGAAATATGATTATTAAAATTCTGATTTGCCATTATTAACAAAAGAATTGAATTGCACAGTTTTTGCAAGTTATCAACTAAGTTCATTACCCGCTAACTCCATTAGGCTTATTAGTATTATTATGATTATTATTAAAATAACTTAATTCTTCATTTTTATTTACCTCGTTAGTTAATGATAATAATGGTAATAGTAATAGTAAAAACAGTAATAATAATGGTAATGATAATAATAATAATGGTCCTAATGTTCTCTATTAAAATACGGTTTTATTCTTGTAGGTGCCCTGGTACCTTTGTCAATACTTAATGATGAGTCCCGAGGTTCATATTCACTAAACTTTCTAACCATTATTATATTGATTTTACAAATGAAATTTCTTTCTTGAGTTAGTATTAATCGTTAATGATAGTTATAAAACACATATCGGTAGTAGTAGCCTAGATATGTTCATTCTTCACCATTCTTTCTATTGTAAATCCTGAAATCTCGTCGGAATAACATTTCCATTGTCTTTTTAAAACATTCTCAAAGGTTTATTCTTTATTTTCATCATTGCCACTAGATTGATTTGACCCCTTTAGTTATTTACATCTTGTAATGCTAATTAAGTATGGTATCACAGGTCAACGTACAACTGTGCCAGACTCTATGTTGACAGATATCAATATGTTAGATACAGGATTTACATATTATTGATTGTATGAACTATGAAAGTGTAACTCACTAGTCCTGTGTACGAGAAATATTATTTCATTATATAAAATTAATAATATATTGGAACCAATTAACATTTATCACATTCTGAATATAATCTAGTAAGATATGGATCCACCTAGAGGAGTTGGACAACCCTGACTACAAACCATTGGTGTACATGGGCTCCAAGTTCCTGAGGGAACAAATGGAGTACGAACCAATTATTGATCAGCGGTCACCATGGGATTGCATCTCCTGACGTTGCTCCATTGCCTTGTGGATTAGACCTTTAAATCAAAGGCTTGGAGAGCAGCCTCTCTAAGAAAACCATCTGCTTTGGTTACGGCACCTGGGAAGTATCCTAACCCCCATCGAATGATTTATGTGGTGCATATCTATTTGGTGTGTTACTGTACCTATGTTTATGCGTTTAAATAAATAAAATGTAAAAACAATCATAAATTCTTACTTTCCACAAATAATTCTCACGAACTAAACCAGTTTGTTCAATAGGCATTACAATTTCATGATTATGAATATTATTGTAAATGGATTCCAAGAGTTTCGGATCAAAATCTTGATTTCCATTCATACCTAGTAATGAAAATGTAGTCGAAATAACTAAACTGAATATGATATATTCAGTGTATTAAGCTATCAAGTGTATGAATTCTGTGTCAATTTCATTTGAAATTTAGCCAAATTTACAATGAATTTTTCAATTAGTATCAGCTCGTGACACAGATAAACAACATAAGGAATTTTTCTATGACGGTGATCTACAACTCAGGTGGACCTATAAGATGGAAATTTCAAGGATCCAGGATCATCAAAGCATCCTTCAAAACAAGGAAGGGATTACAACTTCATGAAGTACTATGCATCTATCGATGATAGCAATGAAGATTATAAGGATCAGTTATATGGGAAGCTGTGGTCGGTCGTAGAGATGTATACCGGGAAAGGACCTGATCATCCTGATAGGAGACCTAAACGAGAAAATCGGAATGCATAACACCAGGAATGTAGGTACCATGAAACGACATGGACTGGCACAAATTAGCAAAGCAAATACATCATTCTTAAAAATAAAGAACATCTGGAACTCAAACACAACTCTCACCCAACAACAAAGTCAACATTTTCAAAATGAACATTAACACAGTCCCATTGTACCGAACTGAAACTTGGACAACCACTACCACCATCACCAACAAGGTAAAATCATTTATATACAGCTGTCTAAGCAAGATACCCCAGATCCGTTGTTCAAAGATAATCAATGATAATTTTCTCTAACAGAGAACATACCACCACCTCCCATGTTAAGAGGATATTAGAAAAAGATGCAGAAGGTGGATAAGACACACTTTGTGGTCACCATAAAATTACATCACAGAGAAAGCCCTTACTTCGAATCCTCATTGCAAATGGGAAAGAGACACATCAGAAAACACATGGTGTCGGGTGTTTTAGCGTGACATCAAAAGCATAAATAGAGTTTTCCACAAACTGGAAAGGCAACCTGAGGCAGAGTTATTCTTAAACTCCTGGTTGGCGGCTAATACTTCACGAGGGGTAACAGCCATAAGTGAACCATAAATTGGAATGTAATAAGAAGCTTCCGGACGACAGGAACTTTAAAATAAGAACCGAACAGTGAACTGCATACTAAATTTCATCATTTTCTGAAGGCTAATGGAAAATTTTAGATGCGTAAATCAATTTAAATAGGTAGAAATTCTTGCACTTGACTCAATACCTGGAGGTTTAGACGTTCGAATTACTGAAACGTATCGTTATAATAGAAAATTTTTATCCATTGAATCATAAGATAAATTTACAATAGGATTTCAAACACGAAACTGAGGAAGTAAAACGCTAACTGAATGTGCTTAAGCTCCACTACCTTGTGAGTCAGACCTTTAGGTCGAAGGCTCCGGGTATGGCCCCCTAAGAAAACCACCCGCTTTGGTCTGTGCACCCGGTCAGTATCATAGCCTGCACACAAATCAAGTGACTTATGTGGCGCATATGTATTCGATGCCTTTTTGTGCCAATATTTATGTGTTCAAATAAATAAATGTGGTTAAGCTGGTGGACATTTCCAAGACTATCATAAATAGCCTAATTAATGACGATACGGAAAAGTCGTGAAATATTCATTTACTCAATTTTCAATGATTATTTGACAAAATTATTAACTAACCACTTAAATTCTTTTTAAAATCTTCCATACGCATTGGAGCATTCTGTCGTTTAGAATTTGGATTATGCTGATCTGTATTCAACATAAGAATAGCGTAAGCTAATGTAAAAGCAGCATCAACATCAACAAATGGTGATTGATTTGATGTATACCAATGTTCTGCAAAATGTTCTATTATACGTTGAATAAGTGGTGCTTCACCAGGTAATCGAAATGCTTCTAAATAAACACGTAAAGCTTCATCGATTGGAACTCCAACAAAATTAAACTGCCTTTTGAATATAAACAAAATATGTATTAAAATACATACTAACCAGTTAAGGAATATAATATATGTGTAATATGACAAGTAAGAAGCACACCTGAAAAGATGGAGTACATAGTAGAAATTTTCAGTCGTAAATTCGCCATGATCCAAGATTTTTTGGAATTTAATCATCCACTTGTTGTCAACACACAAAACGAGTAGAAGCAAGATAAATAAATATTAAGTGAACATCTTATAGATCAGTTGTTGATTGTTAAAAGGTTAAACTGAAGGATGGTACTTAGATGGTGGTTGGAGGTAGTCAACAGGAAACCCTGGACCCGAGTTTCGCGCTACTTGGCACTCGTCAGCAAGGTGTACCTGTAATCTTGAGGGAACTGGTGCTCCCTGGAGGATTCGATCTCGTGTCACCCAGCTTCACAGTCAGAGACATTACCACTGAGCTATCCGAGCCGTGACTAACCTCCTGTAGGACTGAGATGTAATTACAATTGATTGATCACTGGGTGGTGATCAATGTCTTGCTTGTCTAGTCCTTATTAGTGCAGATCGAATGCTATCGATCATGTTGCAATGTGGCCACCAGTCTAGGATGGTACTATTTCTACATTACAATTACAGCAAATCCAAGGTCCGAAGGCGAAGTCAGACTTCTGACTGTACAGATATGTAACGTCAGTAAAGTGTTTTCTTCAGACAATCGGCATAATAGCGATGCTGCCTTCCCATAAGGAGGGTTGGGGTTAGAAAAGATCAACCCTGAAAGTGCACATCTCGCTTTATCCCACTGTTATCCGTCTCCGGCTGTAAGGTTCAAATAAGTAGGGAGCTAACACGAACAGTACTCACAAGAAGGTCGCGTGTGGCCGATTTCAAGCAGTTGTTCCTTGGACACTGCAGTCACGCTCTCAGGTCACTAAGACCAACTCTATATGAATATAAATTATTAAAAGAATAAAAAACCTTAAATTGTTTCTTAAGATCTTTTAATTAAAAATCGGTCTTACAATACATACCATCTTATTCTAGATGGAAGTGAACACAGTGAATTGTACTAGTTGGTGATCATACATTTGTCGAAAGTTGACATCAAATAATAAACAAATATCAATAACAAACTATTTGTATCAATCTATGGTCTTGAATTTAAAATCACCAAGGGAGGGGGAGGGTTGATGAACAAAGGGAAGAACGAATTTATAACCTCAACTCAAGTGGAAATCTAAAGGTAAGGTGATTTTTTTTTGAAAAACAAAAATGAACCGATGAATGACAGTGTCAAACAAAATAGTATACTAATGATTTAAAATGATTTTGTTTGCTTCATTGAGATCGATTTTGAGTAGTCAGTCAGCTACAACGTAGGACCAGGCACATATGTGCATCGGTCCAGGTTGCCATACCGCATCAACACAACAAGATGAACACCGGATTCATAACAGTGGTTAGGTAAAAGGTGGTAATATATAAGAGGAAGATTGCATATAGAGATATAGTACAAGCAGAAAGAATTGGTTCGTAGAAAGAAAGATATGAAGCGATTTTAATCTCATAGTTTAAGGGAAGACAGGGAGTGTATACACCGACGCCATTGTGATCGATTCTGAACCATGTCACCAAGAGTCTCCAATCAATGGTTACGATAGTCACGCGGACCCCAACCAAGTAGTCTGCATCTACCAAATAGATAAGTGTTACCTTGTAAACACCAACATAGAAGTTTATAGATTACTTCATCATCAACCAATTGATGATCATATAATTTAATTTTGTTGTTTTTCGATTCTAATGTACTTTGTGTTATATTGCTTACTAGCTAGCTGGCACAGTAACTAGAATCCCCTACCCCAACCTACATCCCAGCTAAAACTATAAAATCAATATTACAATTCTAATCTAAACTAAATTACCTCGAATAAAAATAATAAATAAAAAAGAAAAGAAAACAGCAATAAGAAAGAAAAAAAAAGGCAAAAATATACAAAATAGTTAATCTCACCTAACAAATGCTGTTAACACATCAATATTTTCACGATCACTAATATATTCACCAATCATTCGTTTTTCTAAACGTGGATTTTCACGAAGAAACAATGCTAATTCATTATAATTTAATGGTTTTTGTAAAATATTATTCTCTTGTAAAAATGTTATACCACGTTTCGGTTTTGTATTAAAATGATCTGAACCCAATATTAATAACTAAAATAGGATAAAATAGGTTGTGTTTTTTTAAAAAAAATAACTTACAATTAGGATGTGTTGTATTAAGAAAAGAAAAATCAAAATTTGAATACCTAAATCTTTGATTTATGAATAGCCCCAAATGCCTTGGGTTACGGCCGAGAGTGGAGAGAGACAGATCTCCCTCTCGATATACTGTCACATGCCCAAGTGTATACAGCCACTGTTAGGGAAGTCATTCTCAAGGCGAGGATGTTTACGAGATTGAGAGGACGAAAAGTGAATGTCTGGCGCTTTAACCGAGTTGTTGGATATGAAGGATCCACCTAGGGGAGTTGGAAAACCCTCATTTCAAACCAGTAGTGTACATACACTACAGGATCCTAAAGGAACAGATGGTTTATGAACTTACTGTTGGTCAATGGCTACCATGGGACGGTATCTCCTAAAGTTGCTTCACTGCCCTATAAATCAGACCTTTAGGTCGAAGGCTCCGAGTGTTGACCTGTACGGAAACCACCTGCTTCGGTCTGGGTACCCTGGCAGTATCCCAACCCTCACACAAATCAAGTGAATTATATGGTGCATATGGATTTGATGACCATTTGTATCAATATATGTGTTTAAATAAATAAATTTATGGATCGAACTTGTAAAAAAGTATATCTAAACCATTTAAACAATCAGTATAAAGACGATCAAATTACAAAATGTAGATTGACTGATTAACTTTAAACAAACAAGAAGAAAAAAGTAAGTAGTCTGAAACTATACAAAACATTATGATAAAAACTAATAGCATAAAATTTAGAATATTCTATCAGTATTGAAAATTCGTCAGTCAGTAACAACGTAGAACTTCGTACGTACGTATATCAGTTCGAGTTGTCATACCACACTAGCACAGCGATCCAGTTGTCGATTCAAATCCCATAGTTGTAGAGGTAGTAAAAGTATAAACAGTAATCCGAAGGATTAGGGTTTGAAGATGTTATTTAAGGAGTATAATCCAGTGACAGAAATTTCGAAAAAGAAAAAAGTGAGGGACATGAAGAATTCAGATTAGAATTTGAGAGAACACAAGGAGTGGATGCACCTGCGCACACCATTACAAACGATTTTCAACCATGTTATTCAAGGTCTCTAACCATCGGTTGCTATCATCTCGCGGATCCCAACCAGGTAGTCTACACCTACTAACATGGCTCAGTCCACTTGTCAGTGACCATAAAACATCGCACGTCGTGGCAATCGGTGGTTGGGCATACGTAACACGTGTCCCAGCCATCTCAACTGATGAAGTTTGACTACTTCATCAATTGATTTGCCATCCTTACCTAGTACCCGTTTCCTAACAACTGCATTACTTATCCGGTGGTCCCAGGATATACGAGCAATATTTCGAAGACACCTATGGTCAAATACTAGTAGCCTACGAATATCCTCTACTCTTATAGGCCATGTTTCAATGCCATAAAGCAGGACGGAACGAACTGCTGCACAGTAAACTCGTCCTTTGGTTGATAGACGGATATCTCACCTACGCCATAAATGACGCAAGTTGGCAAAAGCTAGTCGAGCCTTCTGTATCCGTGCTGAGATTTCGTCACACACCAGACCACAAGGGCTGATGAGACTTCCAAGATAAATGAAGCGGTCGACCCGCTCAACTACGTCACTCCTTATCATTAGTTTAGGTGTCGATGCAACCCAATCCTGAAGAATAAATTCACAATATCATCTACTTTATATATATATATATATATATATATATATATATATATATATATATATATATATATATATATATATATATAATCTGACAGATCTAGCAATAAAACCTACCTTCTTTTTGGACTTAGAAACGTTTAATTCCTCTCGAGATGGCAGTTTTGTTAAATCAACAAAATGACGATTAGGTCGCACTCTATACTTACTATCAATAGTGCTACTTTTATCGATTAATGGTAAAGAATTTGTCGAATCTGCAGATTTGTTCGAAGAATTTTGATCTATTATTGTTGCTTGTGACGCACCGCACTGGACTTCAATAGTGTTCAATACAGCCAACAGGGCATCCAATGCTAGTAAATGAGTACCCATTAAACGTACAACAGGAAAAGCATTTTTAGCTAACATTTTTGTGATATCTTCAAACAGATTAGAACAATACGGATCACAATCATAGTTTATATAAAGCTCTGCAGCTAAACCAGGAACGAGAAATAAACGAACAACTGAATCCAATGCAATTTCACGTCGTTCATAACCCGTTGATTCATTATCTGAAGAAATGATAGCAGTTAATCTTTGCAGATAAACCTATAAAGTGTTCAGATAAAAAAGCATACAAGTAAAATAGACGAAGAGAAAGAAAATTCACGGTTTAATAAATCTTAACAACAGAACCAACAAAAGTCAATTACTAAAACAATAAAAGTCAATGTGTAATGATTATTACCTATGATTCAACCCACATTGTTAATCATTAAAGAATAATGCGACAAGCATAAGTATTTCACTTTCGTCAAAATGGGCACTACCGATCACACTGTAGGCAGTCGCGTACTGTTTTAGATCTATACAGTTGGTTTGCATCAGCTACTTATAATCATACACCTTGAAATGCGTGATTATAAAAACTTCAAAGTACAGTTCAAATGGCATTAGAAGAAACCTACGAGTAAACGTCTTACAACTTTTTGTGTATTACACAAACTGGTCAACATTAACATTTACTCATTTGTTTTCTAGTATTCTATACAATGGTACATTACTGGACAGCACATTCTGCCCTCAAATGTTGGGTTAGGGGTTCGAAAATCAATCCATCGACTTCGATTTGGGGAGCCTGACAGTATCAATAGGAAGGTACCATAATAAAATGACGATATATGTGACAGTGATTTGTAGTATTCGAATTTAACAGTCGTTTGTTGAGTAAAACTGAAATTGATTCAGAATTCGGGTGTTGAAAATGAAGTGGTTAAATATGTAATTCGAAATAAAAACGCATAACCAGCTTCATCTAAACTTGAACTAAACCTTCAGTGATTGTTCGTCCAGCCCCAACACAATCACGAAGACAAAAGAAAGCAAACACGTGGTTTGCAAATTCATTCTACTAGTTGAATTTATCGAGAATTGTGTACTTCCCAATACATTAGACAATAGATTTAAAGGAAAACGTAATGCATGTGTAGGCCACATGTTCAATATAACCGAAATACATAATAAAAGGGTTTATCTTCACTATATTTCCTTTGGTCATAAATAAAGACACCCTTCGATTTTTCACCACACAATAACAGTTTAGGTTTATAATTAACAAATGTTTAGCATTCCTTCGATGAATTAAAATTATAAGTAGGGCTAATAAGAATTCAATGAAATGCAACTTAGTGATTTTAGTCTCTTTAAACTATGTCTACTACTGTTTTAATGCTTTCAAGTTTAATGAATCAAAATACCTGTAGGTAAAGTGTAATGAATGATACAACAAAACAATCAACAAATTGATGAAAGTAACAAATTACTTATTCAGCGAATAAAAAGAAAAGAACAAACCCATTCATAGAAAATAAAACTAATTTTCAACTATTATAAGCTATTTATTTACTTATTTTTATTTTAACACATAGATATTGGTACAAGGAGGCGCCAAATACATATGGATCACACAGATCTCATTCGATATGTGTGAGGGCTGTGATACTGCCCGGGTGCCATTTGTTCCCTCAGGATACTGGAGCCCATGTGCACCATTGATTTGGTTTGGGATCCGGTTAAAGCGCCGGACATTTGCTTTTCGTCCTCTCATTTTCGTAAGCAACACCGGTGCCACGAGAAGGCAGTGAGTAGGAATTCCCTGGCAGAGGTTATATACCCGTAGCCATGTGAGAGCATTTCGAGAGTAAGGGCGAACTCTCCCCACTCTCGGCCGTACCAGGGCATTTGGGGGCATATGCTATTTAACGACAAGTCGTACTACTCAGATTAAATTCATGATTTAAATTTGATGAATAAATAGGATAGAATTAATTATCTAAACTATTACTGATAGTTCGATGCGTATCTTTGTACATCTGAGGAATTGTTTATATCATTTATCCAAGATTAGACATAATGAGCTTGTTTGGCTTTTGTCAACTTACGTCACCTACGGCAGAGGCGAGATATCCGTTTATCAATTAAAGAGTGAGTATACTGCAGTATACAGCAGTTCGTTCTGTTCTAACTTACATCTGCGAAACGTGGCCATTTAGAGTAAAGATTGACCACAGATGTCTTAGAAATATTGCTCACATCTGCTAGGATCACCGGGTAAGTAATAGTGAGGTTAGACGCAAGGTATTAGGGAATGATGGTGAATCAGTCGATGAGATAGTTGGGCCACATGCTGCGTATGTCTGAACACCGATTACCACGACGCGCAATGCTGACTAGTGTTGGAGACAGTTAGAAGAAAGTTAGGGGTGGCCAAACTAAGACATGGCACCAATCTGTAAAGTCACTAACTTCTGGTCTGAGCCATGTTGGTAGATGCAGACTATATGATTGGGGTCCACATGACTAACATAACCAATGGTTGGAGACTGTATGTGACATGTCTCAGAGTCCATCACAATGGCGTAGGTGTATACACTCTTTTTCTTAAACCGTAATATTAAAATTGCTTCATACCTTTCTTTCTACGAGCTAATTCCTTCGTCCTGTAGTGTATCCTTATATGCAATCTTTCTTTTATATATTACTACCATTGAAATAACTACATTTATGAATTCGGTGTTCATATTGTTGTGCTAATGAGGTATCGAAACTATGCATATACGTGCCTGGTCCTACGTTTCAGCTGACTGACTGACAAGACTAGTCAATGCGTTTTATAATAAGTACTTGAATACGCAAAACAGAAAACCTAAATCCAAGGTGTATTTACGACTTCAGGAAAAGGATTCCATACCGCTTGTGAGTGCCACGGATAAATTATTTACGCGACCATTTAAATTCATTTTGATATAGTTTACATTGTATAATAAGTTATTTGAATAAGATATTTGAAATAAGATTTTTCCAGAATTCAGCAAAATGTTCTGTCCTGTACAGTGACCGAATGGTTATATGTACTCTGTCTAGTTGCAATATGGATTATGTGTGACACAAGCATGTAACAAATCTATTCGTACCACCTCTTTTCTGAGTAATTAGGATAGAAACTAGACCCTGAACAATTCGCTAGCATGAAAAGAAGGAAAGCAACTTACAAGATAGGTAGAAGGTTATCGATCAATACAACAAGTAATGAAACAGAATCAAATTGAAGTTTTAAATTGCTTACTTCCATTTGTAACTTCAACTGACTCCTCATGGATTCGAACAAGAGAAAGCATACACGTAGAGTAGCAGCAAATTGCCAAACATCTTCTGAATATAATAGCTATGAATAATACAAAATATCATTAATACTACAACACTTTTAAGATAAGTAAAAGAGTGGAATAGAATGATTATAATTATCATCATTAAATAATAATTAAACTTATCTATTAAGTGTTGAATTCGATTATCCAAGTTAACAACAGAGTTTTTATTCTATAATACACTATTAACTAGAATAATAAATGTTCAGGGGCAATCAATGTGAAGGTTCTTCCTTTTCTTAGTTTTTTGCTTGTCGATAAAATGTGTTTGTAAAACTAAACAAACCTGTCTTTTGAAAATTCTGATTTTATACTGTTTACTTCAGCAGGAAATGCTAATGTCGTAGTAGGACGAATAGTACAAACAAAATCTATCAACAGCAGTGTAAGGTGTATGGAATGGGCTTCAGCTCTATATAAGAATTCAGAAAGAATCACAGTACTCCTCTTTCAAATCTCCACATATCCCTTCCACATCTTTCAATTTCACACTAAACAGAGAACATTCTGCATTCCTAATGAGGTAAGCCATTGAGGCTGGCTGTGATGTAGTGAATAGATTTAATCACTGAGAAATAGATCATTAAAGTACATAGCTTAACATTATAACCACAAAAAAATTTGCCAAGTACTCAGAGTTTTTTTTATTTTCGGAAACTTTTACCGTTTTTCGAAGAGATTGGTGGTTTGATGTCCCATCTCAAGTATACACACACAAAACATTGCGATCTTATGGAATTAGTTCTTCCAAGATAAAGATTGAACGTACTATGCAGATTTCATTAGTATATATTTATTAAAATACTATTATACTACGTTAAATAATATTAGCATATTAAACTGAATTATCCTTAAATAAAAATAAAAAAAGTAATTTTTTTACACTTTCGTACCAGCATCAAATATTTGGTTAAATCACCTCGAACTAAATGAAGTAATCGTGGACTACTGGCTATCGCATCAGCCCCTGTCTCTAGTGCGATTGTAATAAGTCCTAATGAAATAGAAATCACACTCTCTTTATTATGCTCAGGAGAAAGGGAATGTATAAGATTAGACAGCAATTCACATACAGTTTCAATAGTATACGGTTGTGGTTGAGGATCTACAAGAAGAAGAAAAGAGAAAGCCATTGAAAGTAAACAAACGAGATAAAAACATATTGTAACGTTACAATAAGAAAACAAATACTGTGATAAAATTTCATAGAGACGTGATCAGATGATGCAACAGACTGCAAACTACTACCAGATACCATCATACATCAGTCAGTCATACGAAACGTAGAATCTAGCATATTTGGGTACATCAGTTCAAATTGCCACACCCTACGAGCATAGCGAGATGAAATTGTAGCGGCAAATCCCAAATTAATAGAGGTAGTGTTAACTCAGTCCCTATTCAGTTCCCTTCGATTTTGTGTTTTGTTTTATACTACTTATTAATATTCAGTAAATAGTTGTATTCTTGGCAATTTCTAAGCAGGTTCATTCATATTCTGAAGAATGTTTATGTAAATTATTTTGCAATCGAATTATACTATTTAAAGGAAAAAAACAAACGCACAACTGATACAATCATAGAACTTTTAATCTACATTGTTTAAACCAACATATTTATCCTTCAATTCTAATGGTTAAACCACATGATAACTTTGTTTGTTAAGTTAAATGACATCTCAAGAGAGAACATAGTATTTATTTATTTGAACACATAGATACTGGTACAAAGAGGCACCATATATATATATATATATATATATATATATATATATATATATATATATATATATATATATATATATATATATATATATATATATATATATATATATATATATATATATATATATATGCACCACACAAATTTCATTTGATTTGTGTAAGGGCTGTGATACTGCCCGGGTGCCCAAACCGAAACAGGTATATAAACATAAGCTCACTTACTATAAATTACGTATCACTACGTTGACAGTATAATAATCTTAAACTTTTATCATTAATCACATTAAAAATCTAGTAGTGAACATACATGATTTCACTAAACAAAGAGAATGGAACCAAAGGATTACATTATTGTACTCTAACCATTGATTACGTTATCTTCAAACCTATAAGCGTAACCCTATGTCTATATAAGACACTTATAACATATTTTATGGATAAAAACAAACTGACGGATCGAAAAGCATTCGAAGACACACAAAAAGAAACATACCGACTGTTTGCAAATCATCAGAGTGTGTATCAGGTTGAGAAAGCATTGTCGAATTTTCAAGTTGTACAGTCTACAGTCGAAAGAAAAACTAAACTTAAGAAAACAAATGACAGTCCAAAAAAAAGTGATGACCAAAATAAAATCATTTTTTAATGTATTATATAATAACAACACTGTTTAAACCTTTTGTCTAATGTGTTCGGAAATACACTATTTCCGATTAATTCAACTAGTATCCAACTAAAGAACAGATTTTCAAACCATGTACTTCGAAACTTCCATCGATGGTTGATTGTCAGGAGTACGCTGAAAGTTACATGAATAACTGAGCGCCTTTCACTGTGATTGTCGATTAAAGTGGTGATAAAACAGTTGCTTTCTTTAGTCTCTGTGATTGTGTTGGAGCTGGACGAACAATCACTGTAGGTGTAGTTCAAGTTTAGATGAAGCTGGTTTTGCGTTTTTATTTAGAATTGCATAGCTTGATACGAATCATAACAAAATAACGTAAAGTGAATAAAACTTGTAGTATGTTACTTGATTCACTGGGAATTTTAGTGAAAATGGCAATGCAGTTTATTATAGATTAATCCCCTTTATTCTCTCTTAAGTGAAGCGATCGAACTGCTGTTGGTATTTCGAAATTCAAACGGATGAACAAACTTACAAAGTCCTCATTCGGTCAATAAAGTTCACATTTTATCAAAATCTTGTAGCACCATTAGTTTTTGGTCGGAAATGGAGTAAAACGCCAAGAAAGAATATTTCCAAGAAATGTGACGTACTGAATTAGCACTAGTCTTTTTAAATTGTTACCGTGTTACTCCTCTCAAGTTGATGAATTGAAACGCTGATATAAATTTTTATAATCACGTAATCGGCATACCAGTGAAGCAGGAACAACAGTCAGATGGAAAGCAAGTGTTAATTTTATTACGGTACCTTCCTACTATTCAGGTTTTCTTGTAGACAACCATGGCGACAGTAGTCAGACATCGGGTAGCAGACGATAGAATATTGAACCATAAATCTGCATATCTTCTCTTAAATATCAAAAAGTTAAAAGTTATGGATAACTGAATTGCTTCTACAGTTATTTTGTGATAAATTATTTGATAACTATATACTCAAACTTATACTTAACAACCAATGATGATAATCATAATGATAGCGATCTGACGTGCCTCTTGGGAAACTTAATGATGGATAATAAATATATTCTTCACTACACGGACGATGTTTGCTTTTATGGATCAGACACACAAATAAAAAAATATTCACAAATGCCTCTTATGACCACACACAGTAAATTGATCATTGATTAAATTGACTGGATTTCTAAAAAGGTGTGTGTCAACATTACAAGATCTGTCCAGACACTAATGAATTGACTTATCACACCTTAAATCCAGGTAATTTTAAATAATAGATAATGAGGTGTATACAACTGCGTTTCGACTGCATTTACAAAAAGCTTACTGGTTGTTGCACAACTCGATCTGTTTTGAATCCAACAAGAGTTGGTAGACGGCTGAAAAATAACTGAATCATGGAAGCCAAACACAATTCAGCTGTTCTTCTAAGTAATTCACTCAATTTTGGTTCAAAACATATGCGGAAGCAACTCTGTAGGATCTCACGAATAGCTCTATCTGAGACGAGAGCTCCAGCAGGAACGAGTAATAATGTCCGTAATAAATGCAGCACTTTCATTAGCACAACCTACAAAGCAAATGAGATAAGGGAAGTTATTTAACGTATCAAAAACCCGAATGATACGATTCAATGTTCAGTGCGACTTGACAATCGAGTACAGATTTATCTACTCAGTTTTGGACGAAACTTTCGCGTGGAGGCTACTGATACTGTCAGGCTCCCCAAATTGAAGTGAATGGATAGATTTTCGAACCGCCAATCTTAGGGTTGAATGCGCAATGCACTATCCACTAATGTAACAGTGTATAGAATGTTAGAATACAGATGGATGAACTCTTATATTGACCACTTTGTATGAGTAATACACATAGTTGGAAGACGTTTATCCATTGTTCACTTCTAATACCATTTAAAACTTTACCTTGAAGTTTTTATAATCACGCATTTCAAGGTGTATGATTATACGGAGCTGATGCAAACCAACTGTATAGATCTAAAACAGTACGCGAATACCTACAGTGTGATCGGTGGGGAGATATTCATGCAATTCTCATTTGAAGAAAGTGCAATACTTATGCTTGTCGCATTATGCTTTAATAATTAGCAATGTGGGTCGAAGCATAGCCAACAATTATCACAGTTCGGTGTGCTGCTGTTCTACATAATGGTTTGCAGAAACATGAAACCAATCCCATTGTTAAATAAGTGTACCTTAAATAACTAGGAAAAGAAAACTACAACCTTTATCCAGTTACTGGTTACCTAGATCAATCCTAACGTATTAATTTGTGCCAAAGGCTCATGAAAAGTGCAACAAACATAATTATTTAACCCCTTAAAATTCCACCGAAAAAGTCAGCAGAAAATAAGTCAAAATCTCGTAAAGTAAAAGCAGTAGTTATCAGCATTATTCCTCCTCGTCACTTTTAGCATAGGCGATGAAATTAAACATGTAGAAACCGGCTCAAACAGCAAATCTTTGTGAGGTTTTTGAAATATATTCAAGTCAATAAACATGATCACTAGCACACCTCGTTTTCACAAACTAGTAGAAAATGGCCATTACATTAACTGGAACTCATGTCCTAATTCATTACGATTGGTATTTTAAGAGAACATACGAGCTTATTGACAAAATATGGAGCCAAGAATTTACGTACATAAGACGGGCAAAGTTAAAATTCGATTCTCATAACAAGGATAAACCAACTGACATCTTTTTTCAACCAGATTCAAACTGCATATGCTCGTATAATTCCTCATAAAACGACATTAGTTTTCGTCAAATATGTCTGCAAGTTGATCAACAAACACTGGACATCCTCCGAGTTTTTTACATCATGTGAGTTTAAAATACAATTCGCTTTTGAGCAAGTAAGTCTTATTATGTGTTCTACTCTTAATCAACAGATAGTAAACCTAGACAAAAGTTTCTGGAAGAAATATTCGCTCAGTAAAAACTCATTCCATGTGTGAGATATAGTTTTAATGTTCTGATTAAATTATGTATGTTTCCTTGTTTTCTTGGATTCATGTCGCTCATAACTTTACCGTGCTAACATCTTTCCCACTAACCACATAAATAAATATTACCCAATGAACGGAGATGTTGACCAATTGCATCGTAATTTAGTGTGTGAATTTTAAAGATCCTAAGCAAAAGAATTTATTAGGCCGTTCATTTGATCTTCATTCTTTTAAAGCTCTACCGTCGGACTGATGTTAAATTATAGTGATGATTTATTAAACTATGCCTATTTCGGGGCTCATTAAGAACTTTAAAGTAAGGAACACTGACATAAACAAAAAACAAAGCAATCACACTTCAAGAAATCTACCTCTGCAGAGCGTGGATCAGTTCCCACAAAGCGGGCTTGAGTACTTGCATCGGCAATCGCTTCTACTGCTAATCCGATAGAATTAAGCGACCCAGCTTTATTTAAAGATGATTCGTCTGATTTAGCAGAGGGTAATTCCAAAAGTCCATAGGATAGAAACTTATCCACAGCTGTTAATGCAAGACCCGTAACCGGACCTGTTGTATCTTCTGAACGGATGACCTCAAGGAATGGTGTAAGATAAACCAATGGTTCCAGTTCATTAACACCTAAATTAAATTATGAAAAATGGATAAAGACCCCACACAAATGAAACTTATATTCTCAATACCACAAATCACAAAAGTAAAATAATTTACCATTTATAATAAGTATCTAGTGAACGGCAGGTTTTCCAGGGTTCTGGTTTTATTTTATATCTCCGAAACATTTCAAATGATTAACATAACATGGACGTTTACCTTTCTTCCTACAAACCTTAATCTGGAGAATTTTCTACGAGAACCCCGATCAATAGACAACATTTAAAATTAATGTTTTAACACATAACTTTTACGGCTTTATGATTGCAATAAACGTATCGTTGTGACCTGCTAAGCATAGCTGTCGTAAACACAGTATTTCCGAGTAAGGGTTCTACTGAGTTGGTAGGAATTATTTTTATACAACAAACTCATATATACATTGTAGCTATTCGTCTGCCTTCGCTCCCTAACTTATTATAGCTTACCTTCGTCAGACGTAACTTTACTATTGAGTCCTTTATCCCAATATAACATATAGCTCGGAAGGACTCACTGCACTCGTTATTGATGGTGATAACAGGCGGGTAGAAATGACAACTCATGATGGTAACAAGGACAACCGATAGTAAGGAAGGTAACTGATTGTTAACAAGATTAACTGGGGCACTATCAGAGGTAGAGTCGCTAAGAAATTTGTCATCACGCCATAGTCAACGAGGCCATTTTATCCTTAGACCTTAATTTCACTTGTTGTAATGAACCCTAACTGCGTCATTACGATATACAGGGCCGATTGTGACTTTGAGGTAGCAGCTGAGAACGGGGAAGATCTAACTTTCATCCTCAATATTTGCTAAATGTAGGGCAATAGCGAAGTAATTACGCGCACTTTATAGCTTGTCCTTCTAAACAATTTCATAGGTCGAGCTAAATTTAGTGAGTTAAAATGAATTCAAGTCAACAATATAAATAGTTCTGAGGCATATCAATCACTGACATTTTCTAGAAACATTCAGGAAGGATACAATTTTCGTGAAAGCTGATTCATTAAGTCATCGCAGTTGTTAAAAAAAGGGGTATCCAGAAACCTATGATTAACGACTGACTACGTACAATATAGTAGAAATATTAGTATAAAATATACTCTGGAATTTACTCTGTACTCAAGAGGTACATAAACACTGAAAATAAACGACTTACTTTTGGATACATTTAGGATAGACCTTAACTGGTTGAAACTCAATAACAGAGGCCTTTTAATATCATCCTAAAAGTTATAAGTGAAGTATTAACACTTACTTGATACATCCTAAAAGAATTCCTGTGACTACACCGCAAAGCAGTTAGCATAAGTGAAACTTCTGATTGTATCATGCACAGGGCATTTGAAGGGGCCATTTTTGAGTGTACCGTTTAACTTACATGCAGAAACAATACAATGACAGCCACGTATACTTAGTCGGAAAAGTATGAATTTTCCTCCAACAATGACCTACGAAATAATATACACAATGTCCAATATATTTGTGACTGACTTATACAAACAAGTGGATTTCAGTTCAGTTTAGAAAGGACAGGAGGCTTGATGGCCCGCGTTAGTCCCGACAATTGTGGTCTTTCAGTTGATTCAACTTTTTTTTGAAGAGTTGACGGATGGAGCCTCAACCACGTGATGAGGTAATAAATTCCACTCGTTGATGATCCGATGGGAAAGACGATAGTCAGCTGACAAGTAATTTATTCTGGGCTTGTGAACTCTTTTGGAGTGTTCTCGCAAATTCTCCGTTTTGCAAGACAAGAAAAATGAGGGCATATTGTGTGCAAATTTATCACTAAACAATTTGAAAACTGTAATCAAGTCGCCTCTAGTTCTACGATATGACAACGGGAATAAGTTCAGCTTGGCCAGGCGAGCATCATACATAAGCTTCGCTATTCTGGGAATCAGCTTAGTTGCCGTTCTCTGAACCTTTTTTAAAGGCTTATTGTCTTTTTTTAAGCAAGGGCTAGTCGCTTGTATGAAGTACTCAAGTTTAGGACCTACGAACACTGCGTATAAAGTCAACAACGTTTTACCGTCGACATGACTAATAGCTCTACGTATTGACCATAAGGTTCCAAAACCTTTGGCGGCTATTGCACGGAAGTGTGCAGTAGTCTTTAAGTCTTGGCTAACGATGACTCCTAAGTCATTGTGGGTCTAGACAACAGGTATCTCAGTGTTATTCATCGTGTATGTATCTGTACTTTGATGACCGATATGTATCACAATACATGTGTAAGCATTCATCGGTAACTGCCAGGTTTGAGACCGTTCAGATAGCTTCTTCATGTCACTTTGGAGTTCTAAGCTATCGCCCTTACTTCTTACTGCTCTCCATATATTGACATGGTCAGCATATAGCAAGACTGATGATGATAGGAGACGAGGAAGGTCATTCACACACAAGAAGAATAGCACTAGCCCAAAAACTGTAGCCTGGGGCACTGCACTAAGTACAGTTTCCCAGCTAGATAACTTTGAGTTCACCCGTACTCTTTGTTGACGCCCAACTAAGAAGTCTTTTATCCACATCAATAAATTGTCTCCGATTCCGAAATTTCTTAGCTTATACAACAGCCGGTTGTGCGGAACTTCGTCAAAAGTTTTGCTGAAACCAATGTAGGCTATGTCTACAGACAACTTTTGATCCTTAAGGGCGCACTAGGTTTCACGAGCGATTAATAAGTTAGTGAGACAAGAATAACCTATTCTAAAACCGTGCCGCTTCTCTGAAAGGATCCTGTTTTCATCGAGTTACTTAAACAACTCCTTCCGAATAATCTTTTCTAAGATTTTAACAACCACACCCCAGGTTTATGTTTCGTACTTGTTTTTGAAGACAGGATTTTCTATGGCGTTCTTCTAGTCTTTTGGTAAACGACCCTGCGTAACGGATAGATTAAAGCATATACTTAAGGTGTTCGCAACGAAGTTAGATAATTCCTTTAGCAGCCTAAGTTGTAATTCATCGGGCCCCGTGGATTTACCTATGTCAAGCTTATTTAGAAGACCAAAGACATCGAGTTCTTTAATGGTCATGCTATCCAGTGTATGTGTGTGGGGATTTGTATACGCTGACGGGAAAGACGTTTCTATGGTGCTTCTATACTTTGCTAAAGTAGTTTGAGAATACTTGAGCCTTACCAAAGTTGTCCTCCACTAGTGTCGAAGCAGTGCTGTCTCACCATAGTGCAGGAATATTTCCTCTTTTTTTGTCTTTTGTTTTATATCAGGAATACAAGCGTTTAGGACATTCTATGGATCCCCTAACAACCGTTTCTTCGTACAACTATCTAGACTTAGGGAGGGTCGAGGCACAGGTATTCCGAGCTTTTCAGTACTGAGATTTTGCCTTATCAGCCCCTAGTAACCTAGATCTATCCCACATTTTTCTTCTTTTACGGAGAAGAATGCGCACCTTACTAATGACCCATGGTGGACAGTTTTTCGGCCCCCTTGATATAGTCCAAGGGATATGGGGTGCTGTAACTTTTAAGTATAAATTTCGAAATGCGTCCCAAGCCGTTTCAATTGAAAACTGTGGGTCTATTGTCCAATCTACTAACGACGCTGAGTGCATGATATCTAGTATGTTTTCTTTCCAGACGCTAGGTCTGAATTGAGCTAACGCGTGCTCGTGATTAACAGTTATATCGAAGTCAAAAGTTTAAACTGCGTGATCACTTTTACCTAGAAGTTCGCAACGTCATCCTCATAGTGAGTAAATATAAGATCTAGTAAGAATGTTTCAGAGTCCCGGTTCATACTTCGTCATTTCTTTCACATGTTTTACTAGGGCACATGTGATAACCGTATCAACTAGTTCCTGCTCGAAGGAATTATCTGACGATTCAGTCTGCAAGTTTTCCCAGTCTACCATAGGTGCATTAAATTTCCCTTGGGATTAGACATCGACCACTTTGTGACCAAGTATTGAGACTGCTTAGCAGGACCTCATTTACCTCTTAGGTTGGACTGCGAAAGATCAAACCAATTAGCAGCTCTCGTCCCTTGCATTTCAAGCGGCAACTAGTTAATTCACACGTTCCACTCTCATAGGATACGTTGTCGATAATGATGAGTGAGATAGCATTCCTAATAAATGGAGCTACTCCCCCTCCTTTACACAGCCGCGTCAGACATACTGTGGGATTCCGGAGGATTGTCGACGACTTGCGACTGTGGCTTGTAGGAGTTTCCTGCTGGATGCCATTTAGAAAACGGGAGGCATAAGATACTTCATTTCTTGAGTTTTTAGTTAAAACAGACCTCTTTGAAGACTGTTTTTCCTCCTTTGGTCAGTGTGAGTCAGCTGTTTTCGAACTCATCTGAGTTCTCTTCACACCAGTTTGCGTGTCGACGGAGCGAATACTGTCCAATGTGTCCCGACTACGCTTGCAGCATTAAACAATCAGATGGCCACGGTTAGCAAGCTGTTTGCATCCGAAAGGCACTGTTGACAAAGCCATACACAACCGTATTTACTGGACCGTTCGAAAGCCGCCGGCGTTAAATTCGTGTAAACTTCGTGCTCCCACTCATGCTGGTGTAACATAGTAATTCTAAACTGAACCTAGTAAAATCCAGATTATAAGTCCCCTTGATAGTTATATAAGAGTGGAATTTGAGACTTTTTTTTATTAACTATGCTTTTACTTAAAAACAAATTTACCACGACAAACTGTTGTAACGTAAGCAGGAGATAGTTTACTTAACCTTATGAGTTTAAATCTGTCAACTAAGGAGGATGTGGTCAAGTCCATCTCAAGACCAAGTTATTCAAACTAACTTTGCACCGTTAACTGACTAGAACATCACTGAGAATATGTTTGGCTCTAGTGTTATAATAACTAAGCCACCACACGAATTAACACTTAGAGACGATCAAAGATGGTGAACACGGGGAAACTTTAATGTTGTGGTCTGACTCGACAATTCAGGCGGGGTCACTATTTAACTTTTTCCTCTTCATATTAAATATATTATTCTATCTCCGGCACAAAAGTGTTTTTCGGAAGCCCTAGAAAACATGGTGCTGACTGTCACGTGGGACAAATTAGTATAGACATTAATGGGACTTCAACGTAAGGTCGGAGAGACTTGTAGCAGTAAATAAATCTACAAAATCAATGACTCTGTAAGTCATTTGATGTCTACCGCATTAGTTTTGATGAACTCACCTAGCTGAAGGCTAGTCATCTGCACCAAATCACGAGTGGATACGCTCTGCCATACATCTACAACGTCTAGTTAGCTTAGATTGATCACTTATCGATACATCGATATTCTACTAAACATATCTTTGATCCTCTTCCCTTCTGGCTTCTGACTTGACTGTGTTGACATACTTTGATTATAAAAATTGTTACTTATCCAGGTGCTGACAAGCTCCGAATACATACAGCACCTATAGACTTAGTGGATATATCGTGGCAAATCTACACATATGGGACTTTGCCTATTATTTTAGTACGAAGGATAAGTGCACTTAATACCAACCTAGATATCACACCACCACATGTCAGTATATATGTTCATAAAACGAAACATAAGACGAAACATCATCCGTACTGTAAAAGTAAAACAAGTTGTCTTTCCAAATCTCAGCGGCAGCCCATTGTCAAATTCCATTTTGTCATTTATTTGTTTCTTCTCCCTGTCGTGTATTTTAAACTTTGTTCAGATCTCATTATACACACCTTTTATTCTTCAGTCTTCTTCGTCTGAGCCTTTATTATATGATTTTGATTAAAGAATTATCTTTTTGTACCTAATTTTCCATCGCATGTTGCTGGGCTATTGACAGTAAGGTCACGGCTTGGTTCAGTGTGTGACTGTTGACCTTCTGACTCTCTGCTTGGGAGGATTGCTGGAATCCCTGCAGTTACATATTTGATCCCATCTTGTTGGGAATATTTGTATTGATTCTCAGGTATCGAACCCTTTGGTATTAACTGTTTCTTTCATTGTTTAGTGCACCACTTCGTGTTAGAGAAACTTCTAACTGTATAGCTCAGGCTGTACCGTTTGAGGTATTTTGTATTTTTGATATAATTTGTTCTGTTTTCTAAATTAGAACCGTTTATATTGAGCACAGAGTTTGTGTTTTGATATAATATAATACGAGTATCTCAAAAACGCGTTGTGAGCTATACAGAGGAACGTGGTCTGGTCTAATCGAATAAATTTTTGGTCCGTCAGGCCGGTGTTCTAACCGAATATTGGTTGTTCGGTCGTTACATTCTTTGTCGATGATTCAGTAGATTTAATAAATTTGGAGACATGAAAGGAAGGCTCCATAAAGACCAACCATCCCAAAGAAATACTGTAAGATATGGGCATTACTTGGTGTGCCTCAATTTGGCTTGATGGATCTGCTTATAGTACTGGCCTCATTCGACAGGATACAGATAACGCCATAGGTTGTATGATTTGGATTGGTTTCGATCTCGCGTTATCCCAT